TATAATTTACTATGAAAGAGCTTGTGTTTTAACTTGTGACAAAAAAACTATTTGTAAATAAATGTTTACAACGGCAGTAAAGCATACGGCAGTAAATCCTGTAATCCATGCTTTATGTGACACTCTCGATTCTAGTAATTGTGTGTATTCTCTATCGGCCATCTTTAATGCATACGCACTATGATAGTGTGCGAGTGTTGAGTTCAATAAAGACAACCACGCGAACATGTCTTGCTGTAACAATGGATGATTGAAAAACTCAGCATGTACAGATGCGATTGAGGCAATTAGAAGAAACAGTACGGAATCTTCTAGCGATTCTTTTGAACCTAATGGATCGCAGTCTATAGAAAGATCTTCGAACAGTAGCAAGCTCTTGTTGGGAGCATGAGGATGACGAGCGGTATAGTAACATTTAGGAACATCGATATTAGAGATCCGTTGTCCAAGCTTTGAATAAAATTCTGGTTCGATCGAAGCAACACGCTCTAGCCAAATGCCAGTTGATAGTTTTAATATCATAGATGGTGACAGACCAATCTTATTATCAGGCGAATACTGGATATCGTAAAGACGATACAAAGATCCGTTCCAACCTTTGCCAACACCAATCTGTTCAAACATAAAGGAATTTACTTTTATTGATGAGCTCGTATATGCGGAGAGCATGTATGAAAGAAGTTCAGGCGTTAGATCGATAATTTCATTTGGAAAAGTAGAGAGAGCTGGTATTATAGTGGGTTGTGTGCTCCACAATTGATGTTGTATAATGTAGTTGGTAATCTTGTCAAGTTGAATACGTGAATGAAGTTGTTCACGTGTTGTAAAGGTATTGCGTGCATAGGCTCGAATAGTACCAGAGGAAAGATTCATATGTGTTGCTTGAACTAGATGAAATCTAACAGATAAGAAAATATGAATATGGAATTATTTGAAAGCTAACAACTATACTTTTCTGGAAAAGATGATAATGTTTGTATTTCTCGCCAACGTTTTTCATGATAATCCTGAATAGAATTAAGTTCATCATTCTTGTTAATTATGTTCTCGTTGGATCTTCGATTCAAAACATATATTGAATGAAATCCCAATCGAATAAGATTATCAGATGACCTAGTATGAAACAGCGCGTCTTCTCCTTTTAACCAAAATACATCAATTCGTGCTCCGTCAGGAAGTTGTGAGCGAACACGTGAAATAAAAGCTGCCATGACAATACTTAATGGAGTTTTGCATGGTCGAAACATTTCAAACAAATCTACCATAACCCAATCAAGATTTTCAATTGCAAGATAGATCATTGTTAGACGATGCCCGGCTCCAATCAACTCTTCTGGATTCAATTTCTTCGCAACATATCCAGAATGTGATGGAGATATATATGCAGCTAGCAATTCATGTGTGCCGAGATTATTAATGTACCGTTTTGCATCATCCAAGACACTAATATGACCTGCATGAATTGGAACAAACGTACCATTATAAAAACAGATAGCTGGAATTAGATTTGTTTCAGGAACTTTTAAGCGATCTTGAGAAAGAATTCGTATGTCATTTGGTTCTAGCCAAGTTGTTATTGATGATGGTACAATAGAAGTAGAAGCAGTAATGTCTTTTAATTCCATTGGTTATATTTAAAGCTACCGATATTTGCTGCAATGGAAAAACAAAAACAACTATGTAGTATGTCATATTTTCTTATGATAGAAAAATAGAACTAGAAGATAAACAAAGTCAGAAAATGGAAACAAAAGATTGCAGTTTGTCTTCAATTTGTTCTAGTAAAATAAAGATCAATTCTTACCTTTCCTTCGATTTTAATAAGAAAAAAAACCTAATATAAACGACTTATTTTTTGATGACGTAGTAATTGCATCAGTTCGCCTTTTTTCGCAGAACGAAAAAAAACACAACTATTAACTCAAAACAGAATAAGAAAAATATTTGTCATTATGATTCAATGTATGCAGAAGAAGAAGAAAACAAAAAAATAACAGTGAAGATGCCTGCATTTTGTCTCATTTCGTGACAACCAACAGACTGAAGTACATTTATTTTCAAGTTTTTATCTTCAACGTTAATAGTTACAAAATTTTATTGAGTCGTTTACATTACTGAACAAAAGTCCAAGATTGAATTCTAGAAAAAAAATTTATCATAAAAATCAATGTATATTTCAGTGAAATTTTTGTTCAAAAATTATAGCATGGTATCGCACTTTTAAATAATTACATTCATAAAAATCAACAAGGTTTTCTAATGTCGTTTTCAACTTTTGTATTCTTTTCAAAAGAAAACAATATTCATGTGTTGTTGATACAAAACTCCTGAAAATTATTCTTCTGATATAGAAAAAAATCTATTACTCATTTTACATGTGTGACTGTGTCGTAGCAAACATTCGACACATTTTTTGGTACCTTATAGTTTCGATCTTTATCATTTATATATGTCAACAAAACTTGAAAGAACTTATATAAAACATACTAATGTTCACATGAAAGGTGGAATTGAATGCGTTTCATTGATTCGATTTTGATTGGTTCCAATTAGCTCAAATTCAACCTGTTTTGATATGGACAGTATGTTCAAGTTTGACTTCGGGACAGATAGAGATTGTCACATTAATATTCACGTCGGTATTAATTACACTTATCCATTAAAATTAAAAATTAATTTAATTAATTCAAAAGTATTTAGTTAATTTTTTTAAAGTTAAAACCAAGTTAGTAAATATAATTTTAATTTTAAGACGTAAATATTACTATTTTTTAATAATATTCCTAATCTTATATTCCTATAGACAACTATTCGTCTTATTACATTGAATACAAGTAACCGATTGTCTCAAATAAAATATAGTTTTTATGAAGACAAAAAAGGGTACGTCACATGAACATCACTCATTACATTTTTACAAAATTGATTTTAGTCAAATCAATCCTTTTTTTTTAATTCTACACTTGAATTCGTTTGACTGGTTTTTTTAACTTGATCGGATTTTATTTCGTTCGTTATTCCTCAAGAAAATATAACACAGATATTACCTTTAACGCGAAGATAGTATAGTCTATGGTTTGTATTTGAATAAATCCTACGTTGGTTCATCCATCTTTGCTTTAGAAGGTCAATACAAGTCCAGTGAGATTTTCACTATACTTCACTCATTTTTTTAGTATGAATTATTACTGAGAGATTCATTATATATAATATATAAGTAATGAGCGACTTAATATTAAACTATAAGAATATTTAAGAGCAGCGAAAATTTTGTAACTCACAATGTCAGAAAGAAAGACTATCGAAAATGACAGAATCTACTTTTGCAGAAAAACTGCAAAAATAAACTCTGTATAGACTGGGGTGGGTGTGAGGATGTGGGTATGGGTGTGGATGGGTGAGGGTGCGGGTGTGAGTGTGGATGTGGGGTGTGGATGTAGGTGTGG